GCTTAGTTAATTCCTTACTATTCAACGGGACATAGTGGGCTCAGGTAAAAATTTCTAAGGACCCAAACTGACCTCAGAGGGAAAGGAAACGGCTTTTGTGTGTCTACCCTTTTTCTTAGCAAGTCCGTGATGATTTCAGCTTCAGTTAGTAAGAGCCATTCCCCTTTACAGCCAACGTGGTAAATTGTTCCCATTTCTCTTCTAATGTCTTTTCTCTGACAAACCACTCTTATCATAGAATCATGGAATCAGCCGGGTTGGAAGATCTGAGATCATCAAGTCCAACCCTTGATCCAACCCCGCTGCGGTTACTAGGCCATGGCACTAAGTGCCACATCCAGGCTCTTTTTAAAAATCTCCAGGGATGGAGAATCCACTACTTCCCTGGGCAGCCCATTCCAATGTCTGACCACCCTCTCTGTAAAGGGAGATGTCTTTCTGTCACTTTTGTCCGTGCTATTGTGTTACAGATTGTTTGGGGTGCCTGTTCAAGGCCTGCGATTAGGACTTGCAAAAGATCTGTGAGAATTTCTTTGTCTAGTCTTTTTCCTAACTCATCCGAGGGGATCACAGCCAGGCCCTGCCTTCCTGCTCTAGCCAGTGTGAGGGTCGGAAGGAGACAGGAGTCAGATGCGGAGGCCCGGGGTAAGAGTTAAAATAAACCCTTGGGAGACAGAAATTACATTTCTAAATAATTGTTTTTCTGTTTTTCAAACAATACTGTGTGGCCCGCTGCTAGGAGCAAGCTCAGTGACTCGGTGTCCCTAGGACTGACTGAATATTGGGAAATCCAGCTTTTAGTTTGTATTTTTTGAAAAGGGTTTGCTTCTGCTATCTTGACGGCATGGAGTAGGAAAGCAGCAAGAGGTTATCAAAAAATGTGTATTGGAATTAACTGGTCAGCGTCTGGAGGGTGCCAGGGTGCGGTCACCAGCATGTAAAGGCAGACATCTGTGGGATGCTTTGGGTTCCAGAGATATTTTTATGAATGAAAGGTGCTTATGACAGGAATGCATGCTGGAATAGGCAGTGCTAATGGAGAGTCTCTACAATCTCCTTATCTTCACAGTAAATCTGCCCCTGAAGATAAATGTTTAATAACGTTCCAATTTGGTTGTACTTGGTAAAAGTGATTGAACTAATGACCCATAATCCAACGGATCCATTTGTAGTGAATAGCACTAAGGGTTCAATCCCGTGCTGCTGATTTAGCAAGATGTCTGCTTTATTTACCACGTTTCACTGTTACAGGGCTTGCTCAGGGATCAAACGAAATTTGATTTACCTGGCAATGAGTGTAGTCTGCCTTTCAGCTGCAAATGGGCAACGATTTCTTTGTATGTCTAAAAATTAACAAAACTCTCACATGCTCTCGTAAATCAGTAAATCTGGGTGTGAGGGGCAGAAATTTGAGATTTTTTTTATAGTTTAGTCAGATAACGTATGTGTGGTGGTAGCTGTGCACAAAAACTTCTGGTGCAAATACTTGTAAATATGGGTCTGAAATTTGCTCTGGTCAGTAAATACTTGTGCATTCAAATAACTTTTTCCCACAAACATTAAAGAAAGGTGGAACTATGGCCAAAGTAAATTTGTATCACACTTCAAACAAATACCTGCGGAATTCTTTCTGTTTGGCAAATGAAGCGCTCCTAATCACTTCAGTGGGAATCTGTCTGGTCTGAGGAATGCAGTATCTTGACCTCAGACCCCTGCTAACACTTACGTAATGAGACCCACTGAACCATGTGGGACTACTTATGCACATGAGTAATTTTATGGACGACTCTGTGCAATATGCAGGTCCAGGACAGCGATTAGGACTGCAGTCACCGATTGTTGATTGCCAAGTAACAGACTTGTGTATTAGGTTAGAGTGCCAGTGACCCCAGTCGTGTTTTCCTGCTGCTGCACTGTGGATGGTCTCCTCTTCCTTCTAACCTAACTCTTGTAGAGGACAGTTGCTTTCATAAATCCTGAAAAATCTTACAGTAGCTATTTACTCATGAGGTTTTTTTGGTAGATTGAAATGATTGGCCTGCATTCTAGGAACTTCCTGTAATAAAAAATAAATGCATAAATAAATAAGCCCCCCCCCTTCTGCCGTCACTCAAGTATTTGTTTCTTGGTTCAAAAGTTCTGCAGTTCAGAGTAATGATAATTGAAGTTCAGAGTAATGATAACTGGGTGGAACTGCGTGGGGAAACTATTTTTTTCAGTACTTCGCTGAAAACCGTTTTCTTTTTCAAGCATTGCTCCTAAGTTTGAGGTGTTTTATTGCCTGGTCTTTACACAAGGAATGTGTTGAGACAACTGGATCCTGATACCTCAGCTCATACTCTCAGGTTTTGCAGCCTTGCCAGTAGCACCTTATTAAGGACCTAGACTGAACAGTGACTGATAGGAATAATCTTCCCACTATTACTAAATAGTGTAGTAATTTGAGAGACTAAGGGAGGCTGCAGGGACAGACACAGCAAAACAATGAAAGCAAAAAGATTTTCTTCACAACCTGAGAATTCTGTCCTACACTTCTGATGATAATGGGTGATGCATCAGAAGGTTTGCAGCAAAACTGAGGCATATGCTTGATTTCAAAAGCTTCATTTTATATATATATTTTTCTTTTAATTGCAGGTGTGTAAAGCAGGCTCAAGGCAAGGAAGGGAAGTAGCCCAAACAGACAGTGTTGATGTTCTGTCCCCTTTTTTATTCTCCATAGTAAATTAGACTAGTTTCCATCTTCTAACCCTTGTGTAAGATCATGCACACCTTCCAATGTAAGCATTCCTGTTTAAACATCTACCATAACATCTGTTTTTCTGCCCACTATCCTTCATTTCTCTCTCTGTTTAATCTAGCTAGTTGCTGGCACACTAATTTTATTAGGAAAAACCTGGTTCAGTGGATGAGAGTCAGTGGTCATTGTATCCCATGTCTTCAGGACTGCCTACTATTGCAAGTCCACTGCAAGTTTCATTTTCTCCTCAATGTGATAGGGTAGGGCTTAATCTGGATGATCTGCACAAACTTTAAAGGGGTATCTGGGGGGGAAATGATCAGCACATTCTAGAAAAAAATAAGTCCCACTTTCTGCAAGGGAAGATCTGTAGGGAAAAGCAGGTTCTCTTGTTACACTGACCAATATAACTGGGAAGAGAGAGAATAGAAAAGCTTTCAGGCATGCGAGCCCTTTTCCAGGTCTGCTAATTACCTACCCACTTAATGCAGTCTGTGCTTGTGTTTTCCTATAAATGTTTCATACAAATGTTTCATACTGGATTTTGTAAAAAGATATGGTTTGTACCTTATTACTCATTTCTTCAGTTAAAGAGATTTCATGTGAATATCTGTGAAGATTGGCTCCAGTTTCAAAAGGTAATTCAAAGCCTTCTCAATGAAATTGAGAACATCTTGATCAGGGTCTATACAGTTTTCTCTCTATCTCTGCTTATAGACTGAGTTTTAATAGCATTATTGTTTTAAAACAAAATCACAAATAGAACAAGCAAGCAAGCTAGACTGGCTTGACTAACAACCCCAAAACCAGAAATTCATTTGGTTTCTCCCTTCTAGAAGGGGACAGCATAAACAGTGCCAGGTCCAGGTACACAAACACACTCACATGCAAATAATATCCAAAGACAGGCCAGGCCCCACATAGGTCTCACACTCTTTAATGAAGCAGTGGCAGAGACAATTTGTGTGGTGGGTGTGTGGTGGACCAAGGCTGAGACTGGCCAGGGTCCAGCTGACTTCAGACCATTTTTATGTGGCAGTCCATGGATGAGAGCTTGCCCTTACCCCTTTTGTCTAAGTCTTCTTCACTTCTCAAGTTCTTGCATAAACTCATTTGCTGCATCTTGTGTGATAATCTTCAAGTGCTGCTGTGAAAGTCAGGCATAACTTGTGAACTCTGTGTGTGGTTTCACCTACTTAATAGTGAATAGCTCTCCATAGCTGCCCAGACTTTCAAGGAGGAAGTAGTGTAGCTTTTTAGTTCCAAATAGAATGATGTAGGTTTTTTCTTTATAATACAGAATTAAAATAACATCAATTATAATTTTTCGTCTTTTCAAGTATCTATACCTTTTCTGCGATCTGCTAACATGAATAAGAAATGCAAAATGATCATTTAAGAAGTCTGTTCTAATTATAAGCATTTTTTTATCCATGTAAAGTACTGTTCCAGTCACCTTGAAATTTCCCTCAAGAGAATGGCTGCTAAAAATTTCATGTGCTTTTGCTCTAAAATACTGGAGGGCTCTGTAGCTGATTATCTTGTAACAATAAATATAAAGACTTTGCCTTATATGTGATACAATGAGGAAATTCTTGATATTCTTGTAGACCAGTAGCATTAACATTTTTGCAGTAAGAGGGCAACTTGGTATCTGTGACCTGATGACTCTTACTTGTTTTTAAAAAAGCCTTCATAAATCCCTTGTGAATCTCTTGGTTAGAATGGAAAAAAAAACCCCTCCACTGTTCTTTAGTAGAGTCTGTTTCTGAATACTTAAAAACTGTATATAGAATTGGAAAAGCTTTCTTATTCCTACTTGGAAGAAAATCTATGTTCAGACCATGACTAACCTGCAAGCCAGTCATTTTAAGCTGTTGCCTCTAGCTTAGTCTGTTATTCTGTGACAAATCTGTTATGATTTTTTCCCCCCTCAATTGAAATATTGACATGAATATTAATAGCTGACATCACTGGTTTTGATGCAATTTGATATAAAAGTCAGATTCCTTTCTACCTTGTCATCTCTATAACTACTAGACCATAAGGACATGATTACAAACATAAAATCATTATCTTGGGGATGAGCATCCTTCTGTTGAGTTGACAGATGTAGTGTCTGAAGGCAGAAAGTACTATTTGTGAGCTCTCCTTAACTTGTAAGGTGTGGCATTCAAGATACTTTGGTGTTGGGGCCATTGCAGGGAGGCTTTAATTTTTAAGGAGCTTTTCACTAATGGGTATGTTCTTTCTTTTTCAGGTGTCTTTGAATCCTGCAGGAACTGAGTGGCTTCTTGCAGCAAAATAAGAGTATGGAAAGCCTTGAACAACTGACCATGGTGCAATGTGGCCGAGATCCCTGGACAAACACACAGGAAGGCAAACGGTGAAGACAGCAATGTCTCACCTCAGGGGGCTGGGAAAAGTATGGTGATATCTGGGCACAGAGAACCCCCATGAGTTGGACTCTCCTCTGAAGCACGGGTGAAAGAAGAGACCACATAAGCGTTGTTTGCAGGGAAATCTGCTCTGATGAACGAAGAGCTCTGAATGGCAAGTGTGTGTCCCAGATGTGCAGTGTCCTCCTGTGGGGTTTGGGTGCTAGACTCTAATGAGACCATCAGTGTCGTCTGAAGGGAGTAATGCAAAGGGATTGTTAACAAATGGGTAGCTAAGACGACTAATTCGCCAGAGGTGTTAAATCATTTCAGTCCCACAAAGAGATGAATGGGCTGGGGCAAATGTTGCTAAAGAAAAGTGCATTTCAAAGAGCAGCTGGTGAGGAGGCTTCAAAAGGTCTGCCGAGGACCACTTGAGAGAACTCCTCACCTTGCTGCACTAGTGGCAGTTTTACCATTCAGTTCACTGGGACCAGGATTTTGCCCTGGGAGTTAAGATTAGAGAACTCTGTGCTCTGGTGAACTATCTCAAAGCAGAGCTTGGAGGTTTTTCTATGGTCTTTAGTTGCAGTGCCTATGGTAACTTGAAATGAAAGACATGTGTTGAGTTAGTGATAACTGATGGAAGGAAAACCATTTCCAGCCTTTACTTGCTCTCCAAAAATAATCATCATCACTTAGATTTAAGAAATAAATAGTCTGGTGAGAAAATAAGTATGTAAATGCTACCTTATGTACTTTAGCTGTTCCTGTGCTTGGAATGTTTAACTTCTGGTGAAAATATTAGTGAGGTTTTTATATTTGTGCTCAAAAGGATTGAATGAGTAAGACAATTTGACCAGCATGCTAAATTTGGAGCCTGGGAACAAACATTTCTGGAAAGAAAAAATATAATCAATGTCAATTGTTGATTGTAGAGTTCAAGGGTACCCGCACCGGAGACTGTCCATTTTTCAATAATTACTGGATTTTAAGATATGGCTTAATTGAAAAATAGTATAATAAGCATTAGTTTTGTCTCTCAGAACAAAGACTTTTTTGGGGAAAAATCTGATAATGAAGAAAATATGTGCACTGTACACAACTCTTAGAGTATTCCAGTCAGTTACTTGCATATTATCACATTTACCGAATTAGATATTCATCTTAAAGTTCTTGATTTTAAATTATTATGGGAATGCTGATTTCCATATTTGTTATTTATTGATATACCTAATATAGTTTGATGGAAAGATCAGAAATCTAACTTAACATTTTCAAACATAAGTTAACAAATTAAAAACATTCCAAAATTATGTAAATTATTTTCTTATTTAAATTCTGGGTTCTTGAAAGCTTCATATAGCTGGAGGGTTGTTTTGGCTCTGATAGAACTTATAGGAATAATGCTTGTAACTGAAAATTAGTGGAACCTCGGGTTTTGTGGCTTGTGATTTTTGCAACATCTAAAACCTGTTCTGTTGTCTCCAACAGTAAACACAGAGAAAAATTTAGGATACTTTCTTGTGAAGCTGAAATGCATTCCTGCTGTGGAGCAGATAACTGATGTCTTTTGATGAATAAGGGGCAATATTTTTATTATTAGTTTACCTCATGCTGTACCTGTGAAAAAATCCTCAAATTTAATAAACTTAAAAGCCTTTAAGAAATGTCTGTGTACATAGTTGGGTGACGTTTTTAAATGAGATCTGGAAAAAATCCATTAATATTGCTTTCCTCTCTCTTTGGTCTTTGTTTTTGCCAGGTTTGCTTCTCCTGGAAGGATGCTTTACTAGCCACACTGTCACTACTCATGGGCACATAAGACTTGAAAATGCGTAAGTTACAGTTGAATGCAATTTTTAAAGGTGTTTGTTAACAAGTGATGATTTAAAATCTTTTGCTTTTTATTCTTGCCTTTCAGAACATTAAGGTTCTAACCCAGTTCCCACTGTACTCTAGAGCAGTTGTCTAGTTGGGATTACATCCCAGTAGTTTAACAAGGTACACCCTGTTATTGTTTATTGCTGTGGTTTAAAAATATTTGAGTGGTTGTAGGATCTGGACTTCTGTTTCCAGACACCTGACAAAGATCTCTCTCTTTTTTTGATAGTCTCAATCAACATCCTGCAGCACTAATGCTGTCTGCAAAGTAACATTCATGCTTAATAATTTACTGAAGGTCAGACATCTTCAGCTTTAATAGTGGCTCAAAATGGTTTAAATGCTGGCAGAGGTATTACTTTGGCAAATAACTACCCTTGAAGCCTTATTTTTAGAAGAAATGGCTAATGCAGTTTGCATTCATGTGTTTTTAAAGTGCCATCCATGTGATGTTTCTTACCAAAGGGGACACTTTTAGCACTGTGCTAGAATTTTTTTCCTGTTCACTTAAGAGAGTTGTTTGAAACCTTACATAGCCTCTTCCTAAAATAGATGTTTTTCGCAGGTGTTCCATTCAATAAATATTGCTGGGAGCTTTCTAGGGTTTTTTTCTTGCTGTTTTTAAGCTACGTTAGTAAAACTTGGTCTTTTTTGTAATACAGTTTTAACTTGTAACATAACATTTAGCAACAAAAACGTACATATTTTGATCTGAACGAGTTCCTTCCCCCAAATACAATTGCAGCGTATGTTCTCATCCTGTGCAGCCTAGAGGAGGCTGCTCCTGTGCTGACAGATTTGGTCAAGGAGGTTGTCAGTGTTTCCTTTCATGCACCTGGCTACTTCTATGCAACAGAAATGAACTGAGGGGCCTTCTCATGCTTAGAGTGAGAAGAGCATCTCTGCTCTCACTTTGAATTCCTTCAAAGGCTTTAAAGGATGCTTCATTGTATTCAGAAACGTGCCCTGCAATGAACTGGTTTGTAGCTCACAGAAGGCCCTCCTGTTGAATATTGAAGATGTACAGTTGTTCTTTGCTCCTGAAACCCACCATGAGAGGCTGTAGGAGAGTAATTACTTGTGAGGATGTAGCTGTTTGCAGATGAAGATTAAATTGTCTTGGGCAGAACCCAAGGAAACCAATATTCACTCACTTTGACCCCCATTCTTCTCTGTGTGGAGTCAGACCTCTAGAGCAAGATTACCTGAGAGGCAGAAAGCTCAAGTTCAGGATGCAGGGGCAGAAGTGTTTCCTTTATGTATAAAATAAGAAAAAATAAGCAAAGCTGATTGTTCACATACATCTATACCCAGGTAACATAGAGGAATGTCCAGAAATTACATATGAGTTTTGAAAACCTTGACTATCACTGAGTGTAGAATTTTGTTTGTCACAGCAAATTGCTAAAAGGTCTTGTAAAAAACCTAGTTAAAATAGCCTTTCTGGCTTCCAGCCTTGCACATTGCCCAAGAAAATAACAAAGAACAGCTTGTTACACTGCACCATTTCCCCTATCCCCACTGAGTTTTTCCCTGTATCATTTGTGGGTGGAATACGAACTGTGTTTGTATCTGGAGGCATAATTTGACCTTTGAGACCTTTGCCACTGCAAATGATGCAAGAAAAATGGAAGTCACAGTTGATGTTCATGTACCAGATCAAGTACCTGATCGAGTTTGAAAAAAGTACAGTTAGAGAAAATGTTTCTTTGCTGGCTACTGGCTTCACCATGTGAACTGCCCTGGCTTGTCTCTTAAAACTCAGAGCAAATCCTTTTACCAATAAAAAGAGGCAACACAGAGTATATGTCAGTGCATTGACAGAATAGTGCAAAATATCAGGAAAGGAAAAAAATGGAGAGAGTATTTTTTACCTTTTTTTCTATTGTTGTCTTATAGATTGACTAGGAATTGATTGTTATCCTGTAGGGCAGGGCTGCTTCACCTCTGCCTGCTTGTCTGCAGCTTCTGAGGGTAGAGCTGAAGTGCAGCAGCAGTTTGAACATGCCCTGGCTTTTGCAAAGGGTATTGAGAGACTGAGGAGGGATTGAAGGGCTGGGGAGTTTCTGACTTGTGCCATCCCTGTGTCCTGAGTGGGTCCAGAATGCTCCGTGCAGGCCAGACTGCAGTTTATGTGGCTGTCATAGCCAGAGTGGGCTTTGATGAGCTCATCTGGCCCACATGTCTAATGATGCAGATACATGCTTCTGCTGTAATCTTCCCCTTAGAGCTTCCCAAAACCAAACTGCATTGACTGCATTACTGCACCAGTGATCACTGGCTGTGCTGCATGTCATTGAATCCTAACATGCTTCCCACTTATTCCTAACAGCAAAATTTCTTGGAGGCACAAGGTATATCTGTTGTTCTTGTTTGCATTTCTCACTCTTGACCATTGTTTTGTGTGTGTGATGACTCTTACCAGAAACAAGACCTCCTCCTTTCCCATAAAGTAGCCTGCAACTTAGTTTTTTGGAGATTGCAGTACTTGTCTGTCAGAAGATGATTCACATTGGCTGGCTGAGGTGCATAGCAGAAATGCCTGAGCAGATTACAAACTAGCTGCCTCTTCCTTTGAGACTCTCTGCAAGGGAAAGGAGCACAGGGTTTACAATTGGCAAATTGTGAGGCAGCTTTGCTGCTCATTAACATCCAGTATGGACAACCCCTCCACGGCAGTGATCTTTCCTGTTGTTTGGGACAGAGGAGCTTGCTGTGCAGACCTTAGCAGGAGTGTCTGAGTGAGCAGAAGGGATTCAGTCTCAGTGAGGAGAATGTTGACTGAATCCTGCTCTGCAGTTTTGCAAGACTGTCTGAAACTGGAATGCTACCTATGTAAAAACAGAAGCAGTCTTTGGATTGTTTTGTGTTTATGTTCGTCTGGATTGAAGCTGAATAGAACAGGAACATCTGAATTATGGCCTCTGATGATGACAAACTTCTTTGTCATCAGAAACCACGATGAAGCTGCCTAGTGAAGTGCTTTTATAAACTCTCAAAAACATAAACCCAAGCAGTGTTAGCAATCTGAATCATCAAAGCAGAAGCGTTTCTTAGAGAGAGGATTCTCACATTCTTACAGGCACTTAAAATAATTGTTTACATTGTGATCTGGTAATTCAGAGAATGATGAGGCTGAAAAGGGGATTCATGACCTGTAGCATAAAAGTAAATCTAGTTTGATAGGAATTTTCAAATGTAGTGGTTGTTTAACTTTGGATTTTGGTGTCGTTCAGTGTTCAGCAAGGACCACCAAAATGCAGCTCTGCATCACAATTTGCCCAGTTCCAAAGCTCACGTACAGAATATTTTCTGTGATGCGCAGAAGTGCAACTCCAGAAAAATAAATAAATATATGTATGTATATACACGCAAATGGAAACCGGTCTACAAAATAGAATATTTTATTTGGATTTTCCATGTGCTTCTGCCACTTCTCTAAACTTCCTGAGAGGAGGTGTATTTCTTTATTCTCTCTGGTACATGAGCAGCTTCTGAGGTGGGTACTGACCCCACCTCTTGGGAATGAACCTTGCCTGGAATTGACAAGAGTATGTATTTTATAGTGCCTGCTGCACTATGATGGCTTTGCTGCCTAGAATTTTCTTATGGGAAAATCTTTGGAGTTTAGTTCTACCACTAATTTTCCCCCCCCCCCCGTTGTTTTTCCCAGTGAGTTAGTCACTTTATTTCCAAGATTTGCCAAGCCCTGCACATTGAGTATTAGATGTGCAATTGACTCTGTGCTGGAGTTTTACACAGTTTGCAGTGTGTGTGGCAGGTTTCACCAGTCCTGCTTTCATCCACTACATGGACAAAAGCCCTGCTCTCTTCCAGACTTGCTGCTTCTCAAGCAGTGCTCTTACTTCCACCCCAAAAGTGCCAGGTATTTTACCTGGTATGTGACAGCCTGTAGCAATGGCTCAGTGAGTGCAGGATACAGTTTGATCTGTCCATCAGGCAGGTCTGGGCTTTTGGAACACTGAGATGAAACTGAGGGCTGGGATACTCTGGTTTTGTGCACTGGAAAGAGGGAAAAGCCCAAATCCATGGCTAGATGTCCTACTACTGTGTTCATAAGAATACTGGAATATAAAAAGATGTATATATATAAAGGAGTTATAATCCTCTTGATTTTTTTCCTGCCTTTCCATTGGCATCTGGCCCATGAGAATTTACAGAAATAAATTCCCCCGTTTTCCTCTGCACACAAGTGAAAAACAAAAACAGTTCCTAAAGTTCCCAGGACTCCTATTAAAAATATCACACAAGTCTCAATAGCTTAAACAAAAGGAGTAATTAGGAGTAATTATAGATTCCTTTCATAAGGCAAACATACTGCAGTGACTTCACTTTTTGTTCTTCCGGGGGGCACTATGTGCAATCCCTTCAGGGACAGCCTTGGGAGTACTGTCTGGAAGGACATCTCTGGTGCTGGGGGCTCTAACACTGGCCCTGCTCTCCTGGTGTGCTGGATCTTTCTTTAGAGCTATAGGTGGCAGGAGACCTAAGGCTGGAGTGTTGTTTTGGGTATATAGCTCATCATCTTCAGCAGAAAGGGCATAGCAGGGAAAATAATGAAATTCTGCATAAAACGGGTATGCTTCCAAACAGGAAAAACAAAAATCAATAATCCAAAGAAAGCCTTTAGAAATTAATAAATACATAAGTTAATTTGGGATTTCCACACAGGTGATCTTTATCCATAACCATCTGATCAATCTTTATTTTTGCAGGCATTTGCAGGCAGTGGTTTTTCTTTTACAATTAACAATCTGAAAACATGAGCAACTGTAGTAACTTAAAGGAATTCTAATAGTGTTTTTTAAACAAAAGTAAAAATTGTGGTGTTACTGCAAAATTTAAGTCACGGATCTGCTACTGGATTTATAGGGGAAGGTAAAAAGGAATTTTTATAGTGTCCTTTAGAAAAAAATTTATAATAGACACCATGTTTTTTCTTTACTCTCAGAAATAACTGTTCTGTCTTATATTCCACTGGCTAACGTGTGCTGTAGAGTACTGAATTTTTAATGCTGGTCACTAGCTTATAGGAAACAATTTCTGCCTTACTGACCTTAATACTTGGAAAGTATTAGGTACACAACAACACTTTCTGTTCCTATATGGATATTCTGAGTTAGGGCTTCATTTCCAGAAATGACTTATTTGCTGTAGAAAAAGGTT